AGAGAAGAGAGAGAGAGAGAGAGAGAGAGAGAGAGAGAGAGAGAGAGAGAGAGAGAGAAGAGAGAGAGAGAGAGCAAAAGGGTGTCAGCCTCACAGAAGAAGTGAGGGAAGGTCGAGTCAAAGAGAGGGAGGAGAATACGCCTGTGTAGACAGATTGTCAAAATATGATGGGAAGTTGTGAGCATCATTTCACTGATACTTCACCGTTATCCGAAGGCAAGGTTGCATTTCGGTACTTGATTCAACGGCATACCGTAAGCGCATCTGACCGCCTTCGCGTCTACATTCAGTCGATCACAGAGACAGCTTGTTTGTCCGATGCGCAGCAATGCGCACACTTCCTCTCTTGGAAAAAATACGACAAACAAAAAGACAACGTTTTGAGGAGACAAAAACGAAACTAGAATTGACTCACACCGAATAACGTTGTGCTGTAGCACCAATGAGCCTACCGTATCTCAGTTGATACACCCACGCAGTGTTAAAATACAGACCCAAGTTCAACTCCAGAGACAATCAAATGACCAGAATAACATAATAATTCCCCTTGTTTTTTTGAAGGGCTATGGCCTTGAGATATTATCATCGGACTAACCAGCACAGGTAAATTTTTTCCTTTTTTCTTTCTTTCCTTTCTTTATACTCTTGTGTCTAATCTGACGTAGGGTGGCCTTGGCGTCAGGGAACCCCCAATTACCTGGGCCCGGCCAGTTCTTTTTTTTCTTTTTCTTTTTTTAACCCCGGCCAGTTCTTTTTTTTCCTTTTTTTTTTTTAACCCCGGCCAGTTTTTTTTTTTTTTTTTTTTTTTTCTTTTACAAACCAAGCTCTTTATTAAAATTGATTCGGCGAGGCCGGGGACCTCACAATTCGACCCGAATAAAAGTACTGACACCATCAGCCAGCTTAGCTTAGGCTTCAGAAGGGTATAGGAACAGTTCCGGCTGTCCTGATGTACCCACTCTGAGCAAAAAGCAAAATATTGCCACCAAGGCCTTGGGAGCCTAACAATCCTGAAAGAGTTCACAGACCCTAAGACCAACTTGAAGCAAAACAAAAGAAGAAAAGGCATCTGAGCCTCCCCCTTCCTATCCTATGTCACCCTCTGTTTCTAGCCTTCTGCCCATCTATACTTTTTGTTGCTTTTTACCATCTACCCTTGATGGTCTGTTCTTCTGCACTCCCTCCTCTATCTTTCCCTCTGCCTGTCTCCTGCGACTCTCCCAATTTCCTGCTGACCGAGTGCTCAGGTCCTTGTTTCTTATTCCTTCTTTTTTTTTCTTTTTTTTCTTTTTTTTCTTTTTTTTTAAACACACCCCCTGCAGTGTTAGTGGTGCTGGTAAGAGCAGACACCACTAGCACCCGGGGAGAGGCTCCATCTATTGGTGGGGAGCTTCACCTGCTGGAAAACGGGTCCAGCGTCCCATATACAAAATTGATGAGCATGAACAGAAAGAATGAGAAACCGGCCAGCATTGATTACTCTGGCTATCAGAGGATTAACTGTGCAGGTTTGTTTGAGAACAGGAAGGAGACCTCTTCATCCAAAACTAGATGCCAGATATCCACTGCTGAATAACCTAGTTCCTCCCTGATTCTTAGGAAGCTTGAAGAAACTGTGTTCAGAACTGGATTGTTGTAGAATACGTCGTTGTGGTCACCCTCAGACGACAGCAGGGCAACAGCGTCCTGCTCACCATACTCGAGCGCGCTGAAGCGGCGAGAGAAGTGGCAGCCCTGCTGCGTGGAACGCGGCGGGGGCGATCGCGGAAAGGGGAACGACGCTAGGAAGTGTCGTGAGAGGAGGAGGGAGCGTAACCAGTACGCTGAGGCTGGGAGGAGGAAGTGGATTGAAGACGGGCCCTCATCCGCTGATGGGACCTAGCGGCCTCGTAAGCCTGCGTGGCCGATGTGAACTCATACTGCCATAACTCGGAGCGGTACTCAAGGGGAAGGCTGGCCAAGAAACGATCGATGAGGGCATCCTCGGGGAGGAATGCCACATCACAAATGAGGCGGGCGTCATGAAAGACCTGGATGTGGCGGTCCAAGCTGGCAGCGCCACCAGAGCCGGACCAGTGTATACTGATGACACGCTCGAAGGCGTCAGTCACGTCATGTCGAGCTCCACAGCGATCCTCGAGGAACGCCTGAAAGTCCATGAAGGTCGGGATCCAACCCTCACGAAGGGAGTGGGTGTAAAAATCCTCCTAGGCGTCGAAAGGACCGCCACGCAGGCGCGTGGAGAGGTGAGCCACCCACGTGTAAGGTGGGGCGCCCATGAGCTGGAGCGTGCGGGTGGCAGACTGTAGCCACCGAGACACGCATATCCCTGTACCATCATACAAGGCAATGTCCGTCAAGCGGACGAGTGGTGCGCCACCGGTCTGGCGGCGAGGAGACCGAGGAGCAGAGGTCTGTACTACAGCTAAGTAGGTCGGTGCAAGTCCTGGAGAAAGGGGCGCGGCTGACTGTACGCCCAGGCCACATGGGGGAGCGGCGGGGGCAACAACGGCAGGCTGCAAGGGAGTTGCGGTAGAAGAGGTCGCAATAACCGAGGGAATAAGAAGAAGGTAGGATGGGGGTGGAGGGGCTGCAGGGCGAGGGAAGCGAGCCGGCATGGAAGGAAGGGTAGAGGAAGTAGGAAGTGCACGCGAAGGAGCGGCCACTTATGATGGTAGGGGTGGTTGAAGGCGTAAAAGGGCAAGGTCGGTCCGGATCTGGGCAAGCTCGTCCTCGAGATGACAGACATAGATCGAGCGAGGAGTAGAAGGAGGAGGAGTGGGGGAAATAGACGCACGAGCGGCGCGGGGCATCCCATAGGGGGGAGAGCCAGATGGCGCAGCGATCGTGCGAAGTGGAGGGAGAAATGGGGCACCCGCCATAG